TTTAGATCTTTGCAAGAACCAAGTACCCGGTATGTACTAAATGTGGTCAAATTTTATACCTTCATTTAAAAGTTATTACGAAAACTGAGGGTTCCGTTATTTTGTGTCACGCGGTATTATATTATATTTGGTCGATAACTTTATTGTTAACGTACCCGAGTGTTGTTACTAGTAAACTTATAAAATTTGTATTGTGGGTCATGATTTTTCAAAAGGCCGTTCTGCTTTTATGCTACCGGTACTCAAATTGTCATGTTTTTGAAACAAAAAAATGTTAAGCCCGTATTAATGCACCAGGGATGAGAAGGTTGCAATTTTTGGCAATTTTTAGGCAGTTTACCTTACAATTTTTTGCAATTTTTCTATTTCAAAAATGCAATTTTCCGTGGGGCCAGATTGAAGAGACGAAAATTAAAATGGTATGGGCATGTCAGTAGATCCACAGGACTTGCCAAAACAATCCTACAAGGAACCGTACACGTAAAGAAAAAGAGAGGAAGGCAGAGAAGGAGATGGGAGGACAACATTACAGAGTGGACAGGAAAGACGATAGGTGACAATCTGAAGAAAGTAGGGGACAAAGATAAATGGCGAGAGCTGGTTTTCAGATGCAGTGGTGCCCCTACGGTGGCCCCAACCACGGGGTAAAAGAAGAAGAAGAAGAACAAGAAAGAAATACTTCTACCCTCACCTCAGTGAGAATAAGCGACAGCACAAAATGTAATTACATCTTCGAAAACATTCTCTATACACGAGTAGAAAAAAGGCTGTGAACTAGTTTGGGAGTCCACGCACGTCTTGTTGTTGTTGTTGTTGTTATTGGAGGTGGTATACATTTGTTGTTTTCTTTTTGTATAGGGTTGTTGTTGTTGTTGTTGTTGTTGTTGCTGTTGTTGTTGAGCCCAAGATTAGAGGTATTACAAAGGAATAACAAACACGGAGGAGACATAATAAGGACGATAGATGTTGGATTTGAAAGAAGGAGCAAACTACACCAGAGCACCCGCCAAACACCTACATCATACATCTACACAGCAGTGAAGTGGTTGATAAATAATATTAAAAAGGTTGTGTCTTTTCGGGCTTTTCTTTTTTGTTGTTGTTGTTGTTTTTTTTATTCATTTATTCATTTAGATCTACACGTATTTATTTTTATCATTTTTTTTT